TTTGCTGTTAACAATGCCGTCAGAATACGACACTGTGGTTACTGCAATAGAGACATTGGCATCAGATGAACTAACAATCAGCTTTGTCAAAAACAGGCTCTTGGATGAAGAATCGAAAAGATGCGGAGCACATAGAGTAACTAAGAAGGAAACACAACTTCCAACTGTACTTATGGCACCTTCAGCGGGAAAAAGAGTGAATACACGTCCAAAACTTAAATGTTTTAATTGTGGAATGGTTGGACACAAAAAGGCGGATTGCAGGAAGCAAAAACTGAGAACAGATGAAAATGTCTGTGAGACCAAACTGTGCTTTGTTGCCCAAGACAATGCAGACAACTCATGGTATTTGGATTCTGGATGCACAGAACATTTGACAAAGAGTCGTGATTTGCTGAAGAACGTAAGAACACTCGAAAAACCCATCCAGATCAGAAGTGCAAAATCAGGCACATTCTTGATTGCCAGAGAAATGGGGGATCTTACTGTTGAAGCTATCGTATGAGAGCAAAAAAATCTTACGATTAATAATGTACTTCTAGTCCCAAACTTAGAGTTTAACTTACTGTCAGTGAGGAAATTGGAAATGATTTGCCTGAAGATTGTATTCGAAAATGGAAAAGGAAATATTTACAATAAAAACAAACTGATCGCGGCGGCACATCGTGAAGAGAAATATAATATAAGTTAGCCTTCAGTACACTAAATGCCGAGTGTGCTGCTGTGACAGCAGCCATTAGAGAAACCTCTGAATTATGGCACAAAAGATTGGGACACATTGGCAGAACCGGTCTCGAAAAAGTAAAACATCTGGTTGATGGAATTCAAGTAAATCTGGATCAAAATCCACGCATATGCTCAGTACGTGTAGAAGGAAAACACACAAGATTAGCTCATGTCCAGTCGAGGACAAGGGCTACTAGACCACTGCAACTTGTGCATAGTGATTTAATGGGGCCAATTCAAACTGAGGCGTATAATGGAAAAAGATACGTGCTAACTTTCATAGATGATTATACACACTTTGTTGTAGTTTATCTGCTCAATGCAAAATCTGAGGTCTTCGAACGTTTCAAAGAATATGAAGCCATGGTCAACAGCCACTTTGAAAGAAAATAAGCAGATTTCGATGTGACAATGGGCGAGAATATCTTTCAAGCGAAATGATTAAATATTATAACCGCACTCTGATGGAAAAGGCGAGATGTATGCTACTTGGTTCTAAGATGGAAAAATACTTGTGGACTGAAGCCATCTTAATAGCAGCGTATCTAATAAATAGGTCTCCAACTTTACCCTTAAAAGATCAAGTGCCTGCAGAGCTATGGTACGGTAAGAAACCTAATTTGAACAAACTTAGAGTGTTTGGATGTATAGCATATTTACGACTGCCAAACGAACTAATAAAGGGGAAGCTAGACTCTAGAACCAGAACCTCCTTCATGCTAGGATATTGTTCAAATGGCTATCGGCTCTGGTGCTCACAAGAAAAACGTGTTGTTTTTGGTAGAGATATTGATATTACATTTGATGAAACGAAGTTTGCAGCCGAAGAACCAACATTATATGAAGAACAGAAGCCTGAAAAAAAAATCGAAGAAGTTGCACAAGAAAGTATTGAGGAAGACATGGGTCAAGCCACTGAAGATTTCGAAGAAACATCAGAAACTGAACGTAGACACAGTAACAGGAAGAAAACTACACCAAAGTATTTGGAAGACTACGATACTTCCACAGTTGCCCTGGGTGCATCTGTTGATGATGTACCACTGACATATGACGACATCCAAGGAAGATCTGACTCTGAGAGCTGGTACAAAGCAGTCAGTGAAGAAATGACATCACTATTGAAAAATGAAACATGGACATTTGAAGAATTACCTGAAGAAAAAAGGGCAATAGACTGTACATGGGTGTTCAAAATAAAACAAAATGGACTTGGAGGTTTGGGCAAATATAAAGCAAGGCTGGTCGTTAAAGGTTGCTCCCAGCGACCAGGTCTTGATTATGGTGAGACGTATGCGCCAGTAGCCTGTCTGAACACTGTGAGAATATTGTTGTCACTAATAAATGAAAAGGGTTTAGTGGCTGAACAACTCGATGTGAAAAATGCCTTTTTACATGGCTACATTGATGAAGAAATCTATATGAAACCCCCCTAGGACTCAACACTGCCTCAAACTCAGCGTGCAAATTACAAAAATCCCTGTATGGATCGAAGCAAGCCCCTCGCGCGTGGAATTCACGTTTTGACGACTACATAAAGAAGCTGTCTTTTAAAAGGTCAGAGAACGGCAAGTGTCTTTATACATATGAAGAAGACTGACCAGAATGAAATTTATCTTCTTCTGTATGTCGATGACATTATCCTCGCAGCAAACGACTATGAATCTCTGATTACTGTTACGGAAAAACTTAAAGAAGAGTTTAATATGACAGATCTAGGAAAACTGCGAATGTTTCTGGGCATTGAAATAAATCGATCTGATGACGATATGTTCCTGAGCCAGCAAGTCTACACTCAACAAATACTGAAAAAATTCGGGATGGAAGAGTGCAAAGCAGTAAGGACTCCCATGGTAATAAAACCTGGAGATGACGATGGAGAAAATGAATCAGTTCCAGAGAAGCCCTATCGAGAGTTAATTGGAAGTCTCATGTTCCTCATGCTAAACACCAGACCCGACATCAGTGCTGCGATAAATTTCTACAGCCGATTCCAAAGCAATCCAAAACGTTGTCATTGGATTGGATTGAAGAGAATTCTGTGATATCTCCAAGGTACAGCAGATCATGGTCTCTTCTACCCAAAAGAAGGGAGACCATTAACCTATGATGCAGACTCCGACTGGGCAGGAGGAGCAGACCGGAAGTCCACCTCAGGCTTCCTAATTGAAGTTTTTGGAGCCACTGTCTGTTGGGCAACCAAGAAACAGACCACTGTCGCCTTATCATCTACGGAGGCTCAGTATGTAGCCCTAGCAACTGCGACTACTGAACTCCTGTAGTTGAGAAATATTGCGAGAGATTTAAGCATAGATGTGGAAGAACCAATTGTAGTGTACGAAGATTATTAGTCCTGTATTCATACTTTGCGCAAGTGGGAACACCAACGTCTGAAACACATTGACGTGAAGCACAACTTTTTGAGAGATTTGTACCAGAACAAAACCATTGATGTTCGATACATCCCATCCGAAGATCAGAAGGCCGACATCCTTACTAAGGCGCTGGGAACGAATCAATTTAGTAAACTTTGTACAAAAATAGGTGTTAGGCCGCTGTAAACGTAATCACAGTTCTTTTTGTTTGTCTTAATTTTAAGGTTAACTGTTCACGATAAAATGACATGTAAACAAGGAGGTTTAAATGTATAGAGAGAGTATGCCGTGTATCTTCCATATATCAAGGTGTGACCAACATCTCCCGGGTGAGAGGAGTGAGGCGCGAGAGGCTTACTATACTGCAGTACAGTGGCTGACGAGTTTCAATTTCATACAATTTCAAGAAAAACAAAAAATATTGGTTTTTAAACAAAATCTGTGGTTAATACACTTCCCACACGTTGGCGTATCTGATCTTTGCAAACATCCACTAAAATCTAGAACAATGACAAATGTGTTAAAACTAATAGACAGCAGTAAAATCTAGTTCCGCCACTGACTCGCTCAATTGCTTATCCGTCAATTCACGAATGTGTACGAAGACCATACGAACAGCAGAGAGGGTTTGTATATGTGCGACACAAAACAACGAGCCCAGTACTCTCTCTATACATTTAACCTCCTTGCATGTAAATATTATTTAAGGTTATGAAAAATCAAATTGAGGGAGGGTGTTGACAGGTGCTTTTATGGTAAAATTCCAATAGTAGTACTCTCTGAGTGACGTCATGCGCGAACTGGTCTCATTTTGAGCCGCACGAGTATCATATCTTGAGAATTATTGTATCATGGGTTTCCATAGCAGTAAGTTAAGTTTACGGGTTGCTACGACTAACAACTAAGAGGCGAACGGTAAGTAAATTACTTGCTGTTCAGCTGAACGGTAAATAATCATGCATTCAAGATTTTTTTTATTTAAAATTCCATGCGTGTTCAACTTCGATATTTTCGCTTTCAGCATCACTTATGATTTGATATTTTAAGCAAATAAATCACTCACTTATAGTCGCGGAAAGAAAATTAACTCGAAATCAAGCCAGATCAAATCTAAATCGACAGCGGTCAAAATGGAAACTGATTTTTTAAATTGTTGTTTATATTAATCGAAACCATAGTAACAAATTGTAAATTAAAAAAAAGACCTTGTTGATGTTTGATATGAATTCTTTCAATTTATGAATTTGATAAAAAGACGCAAATCTTTTGATGGTCGTACAAAAAAATAGTATAAGCGAACGTTAAGGGGGTTTACTGGTCTAAGACAAATTGGAGACGTCGCTTCGCTCCGTCGCCAAACTTTTGCCTTCGACCAGTAAACACCCCTTCCCGTTCTTAATACTTAATATACTATTCCAAACCTAACGCTGAAAAGCAAAACAGCAAGCAAGTACGTAAAATGAATAATGGTACTGTATCGATTTCTGCTTGGACATGGGGTAAATCAGCACTCAGTCTAAACTATGTTTCGCTTCGCCCAAGCGCCACATACGGTAAATCTGCACCGAACAGTAGAGGCGAAGATCCCTAGGTGGTCTGGCCATAGGAATTTACGTGCTAAAATTTTGGTCGTGTTATTGGGTGTTCTACCAAGGATTTGCAAGTAGTATGTAGCGAATTTAATGAACTTTTTACTTCCTGAGCCTAAGCTAAGTTTTGTTCATGTATTATAATTCCGGGCACACATATGTTGTTTAGTGGTGAATGTAAATGTGTGAGGAGAGATGTGGTTGTACATGGATGATAGTGAAAAGAAAACTATATACAATTTTTGTGTCTTACACATAGATAAAGCCATTTTAGCAACTGTAAAATGTTATATATTTCGTTATATTTCAGAAACATCTGAAGACATATCACCCTATGCAACGTTTCAGCTATCGGAACCAAGTACATTACCTCAAAACACAATGCTGCATAGTTTAATGTATCATGAGTATCCTATGACAGAAGGTTGTGCATCACCACCACCCACTACATCAGTTCTAAGAAGTTCGCCGTATTACAATATTGTAAGTTTGACATAATAAATTCATCCTATTTTGAAAATAGCAGGTTTAGACATGTTGAAAAAAAGTTTTTAGGTGCCATACGTCTAATTTTTTCTGCTTTTAGAAGAAATAATTTGAGAAAAGTAGGTTTTCCAATAGATTTTTTAGCTATTTTCGTGATGCCAAATACATAGGATATATTTTTAATCACGATTATACATAATTTCGGAATCCTAGTAAGTTAGTGACAATTAGAAAAAAATTTGCTCGAGCAAAAAGTATAAAATATCTCGTCTATTCAATTAAGAGGAAGAACTATATAAAGCTCAAAATTTGCATTTTTTTAAGTTAAAAATTTTTCCGGTGATGTGTTGAGGTATAGAATACTCAAATATTGCCAACAAAATAAGGTCTGCAATAAAAATGTTAACAATTTGTTATTTACGTGGTTTTAGTATATTTTGTAAAGCATATGGTAGATATGACACAGTAGTTTCGAATGTAGTTTATCAAATACTATTTTCTTTTGTTGAAACAATAACTGAACCATTTTTGTTTATATCCTGTACATTGCAAGAATCTTAAAACAGTTACGACATGAGAGATGAGAGCTAGGTACATCCCCGTCCTGATCGAGTTTGCGCTTGTTGTAGTGTTTCAATAAACAGTTAATTTTGAAAACTCAAACAGTGCCGAGAAATTGAAGTAGCCTACTAGCATTATGTCAAAATATGAGTCGTGGAACCTAAATCCTGATTACGTTTCCCTTTCTTTGGTTCCACATGTTATCCTACATATTTTCTGCAAGCGAGTTTCTTGTACACAAAAAGTTATCGGGTTGCACTACGTTTCGGCGTAGTGGAAACTACGCTAAATCATGACGTCCACTCTAACTGACAGTTACACCATCATGTCGCAAGAACCCAATGGATCGTCAACGCCGTCAACTCATAAAACCTACGCTCATAGAAGGGAAACCAACACTAACTTTTCATAACAGAAACCATGCAATTGTTATTGACATCCACGAAGACTTTCCCATTACTGACTCTGTGGTAGCAGTCGGATCACTAGTAGGACCTCAACAGAGACGCATTCAGCTTCTAGAATTTCAAATGACCGAATATGCATATATTTAAAATTGGTGAATTCAGTTGCGTGCAGGAATTCACCACGGGGCATACAGTCATATTGAGAGTTTCCGTCGACAAGTGTTTGTTATTCCACCGTCGGAACATTTTGTTTTACCCTCATTTACTGCAATTATATACGACGACACATTGTTTCGCATATTTTTCAGTTTTGATGATATGACCCGTTTTCTGTGCAAGGAAACAGGACACACGACAAATAGATGCCCTAGTAAATCACCTACTGTCACTAACACGGAGCAACACAGCTTGAATCCCGAAAATCTTTCCCAAAATGAAACCCCCAACGAGTATATGGTTCCTCAGCTCCTACCATCCCAGATCGTACTACAACACCACAAAGAACTGCCTGAAAACAAACCCACTGAAACAACAAAAAAGCGACCGGCCAGGTTAAACTCTAAAGAGCTCCCTGGAAAAACTCGTCCAATTTCTGTCTCTTCAGATAATGACTTAACACAAACCACTGAATTTGTAATACCATCTGCACCAAACCCTCGAAAACAACCTAAAAGGTTGAAAACGACATCTTCAACTGAATCACTACAAGCGCCACAGAAGTCTGCGTTGACTGATCATCTGGCTCCGTTGAAAGTATGTTTTGAAAAACCAAATCAGTTCGTCCCTTTTTAAGATCAGTTCAGAGACTTTTTCTTAAATGTCCCAAATACTTCCAATCTCCTCCATGTGACCCAGAAATACACGACCAATATACATCTATTTATTGATATTCTTAAATTGTTATATCCTGATCTAAAAAACTGATACATGAAAAGTAAAGTCACTAAAATTAGAAAACGCCTTTACTCGTACAAGCGCATTAAATTTAGTTCTGAAACCCATACTAGGCAATTAACGAAACCACGTTCCGTAGAACGTACAGCACACAAAACGTAGAAAAAATTGTTATTAATATTATTATTGTAGTTAAGTGTGTTCTACAGAGTAAACTCCAATTACCGAACACACGACCGGCTCTTGATCAACCACTTAGTAATATATAAAACTTTAAAATCTAATGTATATCCTAATTCTAATTTAACCGAAGTTTTTTCAATTCGCCAATTGTGGATCTGAAAATCTCAACATCATCCTGGACGGAGTTAGCCAAATCACACATTAAACAAAGCGAGTAATATTTTAATACATCTGTTCTACAGATCATCTAGGAGCTTGCATATAAAATGTTTTCTTGGCCCGTGATAAATAGGGCCTACTATCAACATGAAAGTTAATCGATTCTAATAAATATGGACACTTATATCTATAGATATAACATATTGGGAATTATATACATTAACGTAAAATACGTTGTACGGAACGTAATTTCGCTAATGGTCTACTGAAACTGATCAATCCCAACGTAGTGAGTTCTTGTAGTTAGTCCTATTCATCTTACAATGGAATTTAAACGGGTACTATGCCCGTCTCGTTAATCTACAAGTCCTGTAATGGTGTAATGTGCCTCTCACAGTGGAGCGTCTATTAACACTCTGTACCAAGTTCACTCCGCACCGAACCATCCTAGGCTCGGATCTTACTCTCGAGGGTCTTCTAGCGAACTACTCTTTAACAGAATACCGAGCATTCAGTTTTACTCTCTTAATATTACAAATAATTACTCTCTTAATATTACAATGAAGTTTTCTCAAGACAACCCAACTGTACACACAAATTTAATCTTTCTTTTGTCAACCTTATTGTAAAGAAGACTAATAACTCTGTCTGACTGATGTCTTCACCTTCTTAAGTAAAAAAAATAGTCGAAAGTTGTTTCGACAGAACTTTCCTCGCTCCTGAAGTACAATGAAACATATATCCAGCATTTGCGTGTTGAGTTTTTCTTTACACAATTTTGTGATGACGTTATCATCATTTTTGCAATGGCATGTATATAATATTATTAATATTAATAACAATATTAATAATAATAAATGGTTTATTGCACCGCACGGGGCTTACCCCACAACGGAGCACATACAAAATAGAAATATAAATATACTACTACAAATAAGAACATCTTTAACGGTATACAATTCAACATATAAAGCGAAAAATATTTACAGCTATATATTAAATTCAAATCTTTTTATGCTTCTTAGGTTACAGTTGAACACATCCATCGACAAGTGAAATTCGTTGACTGTGTTGCAAATATTATGCAGTGGGGAAAACTTCAAAATATTTGTCCTTGGAATTTTCAAATGTATCAAGTGTGGATGTCTAAAGTTAACTCTTGAACAGTAAAAATTGATCATTTCAAGTAGGGTTGCATCATCAATTACGTTGCTGATAAGTTTCACAAAGAACATAACATGCTAGTTTGATCCTTGCAGAAAGACTCTTGGTGGAAAAATTCGAGAAATGTTGTTCTTGAGAGTATCCCCTTGGTAGATACACACCATAAGTTCTGAAATAAAGAAATTTAAAAAAACGCCGTTGAACATGTTCCAAGTCATGCAAGTAGCACTTGTAATGAGGAAACCAAACTATCGCAGCATATTCGAGTTTGCTTCTTACTAAAGAGGTAAACAAAAGTTTTATTAATTCAGCATTCCGTATTGCAGTAGAATTTCTTATTATATAACCTAGTCTTTTAATTGCATCTGTAGTGATCAATGGTCATTTTAACATGGTCTGCAAAAATAGCTTAGTATCAAAAATTACTCCCAGATCTTTCACATACGACTGCCTTATTAATACATGATTACCCAGTTTATAAGGATGATTAAAGATTTGACTAGATAACTTAAATGACAATAAATAACACTTCTCGTAGTTGAAACTAAGAAGGTTATCATTACACCATGAAAATAAAATATCTAAATCGCGTTGTAATTCCAAGCAGTTTCTAGACTTGTTATACGCCTATATATTTTTAGGTCATCTGCATATAATAGCGTATGTGAATGAAGACCATTTGCAATGGTATTAATGAAAATAGTAAACAGGAACGTACCAATAACGGATCCCTGCGATACCCCTGAAGTAACTTCAAAATGGGACGAACAAAATCTACAACATTCGACAAAATAAGATCTGCCACGTAGGTAGCTCCAAAAAAATGCACATAATTCTACTGAAAAACCAAACTCAGCAAGTTTCCGAATTAAAGTAGTATGGTCTAGTCGGTCAAACGCTTTGGAAAAATCAACATAGATAACGTCAGTTTGAATACCATTATCTAAATTATTGGCTAGATGTTGCGTAATAGTCATCAAGTTCGTAATTGTGAACCGTCCTCGAACAAATCCATGTTGATTTCGAACTCTAAGATTTTTACATTGATAATATAAATCGTCAACTAAAATCATCTCAAAAACTTTGGCGAAATGATTCAAAATGGAAATTGGTCGATAATTCTCAACAGCTGCACGATTACCGCCTTTGAATAAGGGAACGATCTTGCATATCTTCCATCTATCGGGGAACTTACGAGAAACTAGGACTAAATTAAAAAGAAATGTTAACGGTTTGGCGAATATGGCGGCACAATCTTTTATAACAAATGCTGGAAGCTGGAATAGAATCAGGTCCACTTGTGAACTTGGGTTTTAAATTCTTTAATTTATCGAACACTAGATTCTCAGGAATAGAACTGACATTGAAATTATTAAAAGATGTAGGCAGTGTGGCATGGGGAAATTCATTATTACCTGACACTAAAAATACAGAGCTGAAATATTTAGCAAAAGAATTAACTATATCGTCACCACTCTCAATCAACTCATCTTGGAATGTCATATTAGACGAGATACCCAAACTTTTCTTTTTTAAATTAACGAATCTCCAAAACTGTTTTGCATCAGACGAAATATTTGCCTCAGCAGAAGATACAAACTGCCTATAGGAAATTTCTATCTCATGCTT